ATTAGGTAAATGGGCTGGCATTCATGATCATTTTATCATTATGACACAGTAAAGGTGTAATAGGAAGGAGTAATGAAAAACACCCTGCCATTGCAGGGGTTCGAACTAGTGACCCTTCAGTCTCTAGCCAGACACTTTACCACTCCACTAAAGGGAAATTCTCACTAGCTGAGGATATTAAGGCAACCTGTACTCTCAACGTCTATATACATAGCTCTTACAACAAGGCAGTTTTAAAAAGGAGGCCAATATGAACAAAAATGCCTATACTGATGTACAAGCATTTTTATAGAGATCAGTGAATGCACAATGCATATCGTGGGCTATTCAAATTGTCCTATGTCTGAGGTCAATATTCCGTCCGTTGTCGGTTGGCTGTCATCCGTTCGTAAACAATTTTTGTTATCGCTGTTTTTCAAGGAGTACAGGATGGATCTTTCTCAAATTCCAAATATAGGTTCCCCTTGGCCCGTAGTTGTGCCTGTTTGATTTTGGAGCTAATCGGAAAACATAATGGCTGACAGACGGCCATCTTGGATTTTGACTTTGCAAGTGTGTTATCGCTATTTTCTTCAGGTGTACTGGATGATCTCATTCAAATTTACTAGGTAGGTTTCCCTTTGTCCCTAGTTGTGCCCATTTAGTTTTGGGACTGATCAGAAAAACAAAGTGGCTGACAGATGGTCATCTTTGATTTTGACTTTGAAAGTTTATTTTTGTTTTTTTTTTTAGAAGATCTGGATGGATCTTTCTTAAATTTCCTTTGTAGTTTCCCCTTGGTCCCTATTTGTGCTCTTTAGATTTTAGATATGAAAAACTTTGATGGGCACCAAGATTCCTCTGGGATCTCTTGTCAGATATGAAATCTATCATCCATATCTCTTATGCAGGAAAAGATGTGTCATAATAAAACATGGTTTACTATCTGCCCAAGTCCTAATATGGTCACAATAAGGCTAGCCTGAATAGTTGGCTGTGAGGTTATGTGACCAGTCAGACATGACAGTCTGGCTGTGAGGTTGTGTGACTGGTCAGACATGACAGTCTGACTGGGAGGTTGTGTGACTGGTCAGACAGTCTGGTTGGAAGGTTGTGTAACTGGTCGGACAGCCTGGCTGTGAGGTTGTGTGACTGGTCAGACAGCCTGGCTTTAATGTTGTGTGACTGGTCAGACAGCCTGGTTGGGAGGTTGTGTGACTGGTCAGACATGACAGCCTGGCTGTAAGGTTGTGTGACTGGTCAAACAGCCTTGCTGTAAGGTTGTGTGACTGGTCAGACATGACAGTCTGACTGAGAGGTTGTGTGACTGGTCAGACAGCCTGGCTGTGAGGTTGTGTGACTGGTCAGACAGCCTAGCTGTAAGGTTGTGTGACTGGTCAGACAGCCTTGCTGTAAGGTTGTGTGACTGGTCAGACATGACAGTCTGACTGGGAGGGTGTGTGACTGGTCAGACATCCTGGTTTGGAGATTGTGAGACTGGTCAGACAGCTTGGATGTTAGGTTTTGTGACGGGTCAGACATCCTGGTTTGGAGATTGTGTGACTGGTCAGACATGACAGTCTGACTGGGAGATTGTGTGACTGGTCAGACAGCCTGGTTTGGAGATTGTGTGACTGGTCAGACATGACAGTCTGACTGGGAGATTGAGTGACTGGTCAGACATGACAGTCTGAATGGGAGGTTGTGTGACTGGTCAGACAGCCTGGCTGTGAGGTTGTGTGACTGGTCAGACCGCCTGGTTGGGAGGTTGTGTGACTGGTCAGACAGCCTGGCTGTGAGGTTGTGTGACTGGTCAGACAGCCTGGTTGGGAGGTTGTGTGACTGGTCAGACAGCCTGGTTTAGAGATTGTGTGACTGGTCAGACAGCCTGTCTGTGAGGTTTTTTGACGGGTCAGACATCCTGGTTTGGAGATTGTGTGACTGGTCAGACAGCCTGGCTGTGAGGTTTTTTGACGGGTCAGACATCCTGGTTGGGAGGTTGTGTGACTGGTCAGACAGCCTGGTTTAGAGATTGTGTGACTGGTCAGACAGCCTGGCTGTGAGGTTTTTTGACGGGTCAGACATCCTGGTTTGGAGATTGTGTGACTGGTCAGACAGCCTGGTTGGGAGGTTGTGTGACTGGTCAGACAGTCTGGTTGAGAGGTTGTGTGACTGGTCAGACAGCCTGGTTGGGAGGTTGTGTGACTGGTCAGACAGCCTGGTTGGGAGGTTGTGTGACTGGTCAGACAGCCTGGTTGGGAGGTTGTGTGACTGATCAGACAGCCTGGTTGGGAGGTTGTGTGACTGGTCAGACAGCCTGGTTGTGAGGTTGTGTGACTGGTCAGACAGCCTGGTTGGGAGGTTGTGTGACTGGTCAGACAGCCTGGTTGTGAGGTTGTGTGACTGGTCAGACATGACAGTCTGACTGGGAGATTGTGTGACTGGTCAGACATGACAGTCTGAATGGGAGGTTGTGTGACTGGTCAGACAGTCTGGCTGTGAGGTTGTGTGACTGGTCAGACCGCCTGGTTGGGAGGTTGTGTGACTGGTCAGACAGCCTGGCTGTGAGGTTGTGTGACTGGTCAGACAGCCTGGTTGGGAGGTTGTGTGACTGGTCAGACAGCCTGGTTTAGAGATTGTGTGACTGGTCAGACAGCCTGTCTGTGAGGTTTTTTGACGGGTCAGACATCCTGGTTTGGAGATTGTGTGACTGGTCAGACAGCCTGGCTGTGAGGTTTTTTGACGGGTCAGACATCCTGGTTGGGAGGTTGTGTGACTGGTCAGACAGCCTGGTTTAGAGATTGTGTGACTGGTCAGACAGCCTGGCTGTGAGGTTTTTTGACGGGTCAGACATCCTGGTTTGGAGATTGTGTGACTGGTCAGACAGCCTGGTTGGGAGGTTGTGTGACTGGTCAGACAGTCTGGTTGAGAGGTTGTGTGACTGGTCAGACAGCCTGGTTGGGAGGTTGTGTGACTGGTCAGACAGCCTGGTTGGGAGGTTGTGTGACTGGTCAGACAGCCTGGTTGGGAGGTTGTGTGACTGATCAGACAGCCTGGTTGGGAGGTTGTGTGACTGGTCAGACAGCCTGGTTGTGAGGTTGTGTGACTGGTCAGACAGCCTGGTTGGGAGGTTGTGTGACTGGTCAGACAGCCTGGTTGTGAGGTTGTGTGACTGGTCAGACAGCCTGGTTGGGAGGTTGTGTGACTGGTCAGACCGCCTGGTTGGGAGGTTGTGTGACTGGTCAGACAGCCTGGTTGGGAGGTTGTGTGACTGGTCAGACAGCCTGGTTGTGAGGTTGTGTGACTGGTCAGACAGCCTGGTTGGGAGGTTGTGTGACTGGTCAGACAGCCTGGTTGGGAGGTTGTGTGGCTGGTCAGACAGCCTGGTTGGGAGGTTGTGTGACTGGTCAGACAGCCTGGTTGGGAGGTTGTGTGACTGGTCAGACAGCCTGGTTGGGAGGTTGTGTGACTGGTCAGACAGCCTGGCTGGGAGGTTGTATGTTATTCATGGTTGCCTCTGTATTGAGAATTATTCTGCTGTTAAAGTCAGTGATATCAATTATAGTTTTGTGATGTTGTAATGATAGAAATTACTTCAGATTGGATCCAAATTAACAAGCACTAATTGAGATGCAAAAATCTATGAATTTAGAGCAAAGTGAATGATTTCCAGGGAGTCTTTTTAAATTGTTTTAATGCAAAAAAAAATGTGAATCCTAATGAGGGTTTTAATTGATTTTGTTACAGATAACTCCCTTGGTAATTCAACATTCAAAATCCTTTAATTGTGATTTCTGTTTTGAATACAGTTTATGTTCAATTCTGTAAAATTGTTCACTATTTTAATCCTTAGAATTCCATGTAAATTCTTCCTTAAAATAGGGCAACTATAGCACAGGTATTAGAACAGGTAGGAGACCAGAGGTGTGTGATTTGATCCCTACTTTGGGCAGGTAGTTTTTCTCACGCAGCTGAGAGAATGGACTAACCTGTACCCACCCAGACATTACCAATGCTGTTCACAGAGTGATGACTATGAACTATTTAAAATCACAGCCGACAGTCTTGTTTAGTGTATATAGCTGTTGTAGCAATGATTTGTCATTGCTGACAAGGTTAAAACAGGTGAAAAACTTTGTTGAACTAAGGTATTTGTGCTGTACATTCATGACCATTGCTTGACATCAGTGCTATTCCTGAAGTTCAACACAGTAAAGCCAAAAGAGGCTGCATTGACTGAAATTAGATATATACAAGGATTTCTTCCATTGTACCAAATCCAATCACAGTTGGGGAAACATTTGATATAGTTTATATGGAAACAATATTTTTGGGAATGTGTTATCCAGTGCCAGTTTTTAACCAGTTCCATTTTGGTAGAATTGTTAGCGAGGGATGGAAATTTAGACACGTATCCATCCCTATGTGACCTGATGGACATGGCCCAAATTTGAACCTGTCATTTGACTCAAAAATTCTTTGATCTTCATCATCAAACTTAGATATGCTAGAATTTTTTACTCTTCATTCATTGAAACACTGTAAGGTTGCTTATTGAGATGTTGAATTTCTTTAGCCCCATGTCTCCTACATCAATCCCCTGTGGGAAGGGAGCATAGATCTATTCAAAACTTTGGTGCTGTCTAACATACAAAAGAAGAGTGTTACTTGTAGTTTTAGTGTATTCTTTCACCTGGCAGACTTATCCCTTTAAACAGCACCTAAGATTATAATATATGACTGGAACTTTATTGGGATGCAGTCTAACAAATCTAATGTTGAGAAAAGAAATGACCTTGACCTATATTCAAGGTTACAGGTGAAAAAATTTAGTAATCGTCAATTGACTTCACATTAACTAAGACTTAAAATGTTAATTATTTGAAGTGTCATTATATTTGTATAAAACTTTGAATACCATGTGAGCAATGCAGGCCCATCTGGCCTCTTTGTAAGATAACTACAAGTGTTGACAATAGTAAGCTAGCATTCAATTTAAATGTGTTTATTCTTTCTTTCAGTATCACACTAATAATCATCTCCCAAGATGATATTGCTGATGATTGCCACATGGCCAACTTGCTAAAGTTCATCCACCAGTCACTGGTCCTCTTACTGGGAAAGGAAGAAGTCCAGAACGTTGACAAAAATGTGGAAAAATTCAAACGAGAGGTGAAGGTTGGTGCTTTGTTGTTACACTTTAGTTTAAAAAGCTCAACACTATATCATAAACAAGCTAACAATGATCTATGTGCTAGTAAAACTGTAAAAAGGCTATCAGTCTATATACATATACCACTCTTGTTGGCCCAGAGTGAAGCATGAAATGGGCCTTATTTTGGGAGGAAACCAGAGTGTGCTGGGTTAAAGAAAAGTGCATTACCAATGAGCCTAACTAACCAAAAGTGATATCATGTTATGATAAGACTTAGATATTTGTGCTTTCATTAGCCCACAATTATCAGGTGGTGAACTATTCAAATTTCCCCCATGTCCCTTTTCCTTTGTCCATCCATCCATCCATCCATCCTTCCATCCATCCATCCATCCATCCATCCATCCATCCATCTGTCATCTGTCTGGAAATAATTCTTCTTATCACTATGTAACCCTGGTAAAATACTAGCCGCAATATACCACTCGGCTGGAGAGAACTTCTCTTTAGCTCGATTGGTTGAGCGTCAGACTAGTAAGCCAGGGGTTCCGGGTCCGATTCCTAGTCGAGGCATTGAGATGAGAAATGACCTCTGTTACAACTATTTCTTGAGAAGTTCTTGATGGATCTTTCTCAAATTTCAAGTATAGGCTTCCCTTCTTCCCTAGTTATGCCTTCAGTTTTGGGACTGATCAGATGAAAACAATATGAATGCCATCTTCGATTTGGCAGTTAAAGATTATTGCTTTTTCTTGGAAAATGTTGGATTGATCTTTCTAAAATTTCATGTGTATGTTCCTCTTGGTCTCTTGTTGTGTTTTTTGATTTTGGGACTGATCAGAAAAACAGAATGGCTGGCAAACAACCACTTTAAGATTTCAAATATCAGAGATTGTTATCACTATTTCTTTAGAAGTACTTGATGGGTCTTTCTCAATTTTCATTTGTAGCTTTCACTTGGTCCCTAGTAGTACCAGCCATCTTGCATTATGACAATGAAAGTTTGCTATGGCTACTGGTTACAGAATGGATCATTCTGAAATTTTCCTTTAAGAAGAATCCATTTAATGCCTAGCTTAGTTTTGCATTATCCATATTTGAACTGATCAACAAAACAAGATGGCAGACAGGCAACTATCTTGCATTCGGTAGTTAAAGATTATAATCTCTGTTTCTTCAGAGGAATTTCTCATGATCAGCAGAAAAAATGAGGAAAGAAGGGAAATAATCTTTTAAGGAACAAATATTTTACATTGGTGGGTGCTCCCTGTGGGATCTCTTGTTACAACTGTTAACTTCTAAGACTCTCTCATTCTTCTACTTCTTTTCCACCATCACCATTACACTTTAGAATTGTCAAAATTCTAACGAAACTCATCTCTATAAATATCAGACAAAGTTAGTTATGTTCAGTTCTTATTTTAAAGAATGTTAAAGTGCTGTTCGCTTTCAAAAGTACATTTGAAATCTACTTGTGTATTTGACACTCCAAATATATTTGAATCAGCAGTAAATTTTTGTGATTTATTACTAGTACAATACCAAGGTCAAAGTTCAAGGTCATTAAGTGGTGGATGTAATAGAAGCATAATTGCCTTTCACAGTTTAAGTTAGAATGTGTTTTTCTGGTCTTGGCGTAAAGCTTTGTTACAGAGGACACCAGGGATTTAGACCAATTAATTACATAATGGAATAAGAGAAATCAAACAAGTTTGCAAAAATACGTCGGAAAATAAAAACAAAGATGGAAATATACTTAACAGAGTTTTGTGTGAATTTAAGCCGTGCCTTTTGCTATAAGGTACTGTACCAGGCCAAGCCTGGTTGGACATGATATAGACTGATAGTTTCTATGAGGTTGACAGACACACGTGTGAAGATTCCAGTACACCGCTACAAACACCAATCTCATTTTATTAACAGGGTAATAATTTTCACGATTTTAAATGTTTCTGGATATTTTTTTCAAAGTGATTAATAGGAGAGATTTAGCGAGGGATCTGGCTCACAGTAAAAGTACAAAATGGCTAATAAAGTGCTGCACCATTACTTTTTAGTGCAATTGTGGTGTCCATATTAGCGGGTAATTCATTTAGTCCTTGTCTTTTTCCCTCATGTCAAATAGAACAGGCAGAGTGAAATCTATATCAAAACAGAGTTCAGATTGGAGATTTTTAATTGTTTTTCCTATATACATTTATAGCTTGGTTTGTTATAAAATATATAGATTTTACACTATGTTATAATTTCATTAGGAAATCAATAGTGTTGAATGTCAGCTGGAGGTCACTAGAACTTTAAAGACATTCCCAAAAGCATCTTAAGAAAATGAAAATAGTAGTAAGGTTTAGAATTACTGACATTTTTAACTTTTAACATTTTTCTGTTTTCTACCGACTTTTGATGTCAGTATTGGTTATTTAAATGGTAGGTATGCATGTACTTAACAGCTCTGATGTTTTGGTGGAACAGGTGTCCCTGTAGACTAATTAGTCATTAAACTTCTCCGTCAGCAGTAGTTTTTTTGTTAAAAGTCTTCACTGATACAACATTATGTCTGTCTGTCTGTCTGATTGTAGTTTATCTGTACTTTCTTACCTTATCTGTCTGTGCATCCTTTCTATCTTACATGTTAAGCTATAGCTGTACTTTAGGTCACCTGAGACAAAGACTCATTGTGAAGTATTGCGATTGTCTTTTGTCTGGACTCATGTGTTATGCGTCCATGTGTCATGCGTCATGTATATGTAAACTTATAACATTTTTGTCTTCTTCTCATAAACCCCTGAATCAATTGAAAGACACACCAAACTTTCACCCTGAGGAAGGGGTAAAGTTTACTATAGTGTAAATAGGAAAAATTACATTTGTGAACATTATTTGTTTTATTTCCATTGGAAATATTTCAAACATCATTAGAATTATTAGCAAAGGATGACAGCTTGATGGTATACAAACATCCTGACTGACTGACACCCAGGGGCTGATCTGTGGGGCAAAAGGGGGTTAACCGAATTCTGATATTGGCTTGCCCCAAAGACCTTAAAACATATCACTTAAGTCTTACTATCATAAATGTCACAATCATCAACGTCACAATTTCTCTTTCGTGACACTTTAAAGCTACTTACCCTGTAATCTTTATATTCAATATTGCTTACTTCAAATGACCATCAAGGTTGCTAGGTCTCTTGTTTAGCTTGAGTGGTCAAGTGAGCTTTTGCTATGATTTAAATCAAACTTAAAGGCAAATGACCAAAGGTCAAGATAGTGACCTATTGCAATCACCTCCGGCGTCATGCTTCTGTAAACAATTTAACATTTTTTACTTCTCAAATACCCTTGAACCGATGTCAATGAAATTTTGCAGAAAACTTCCCTAGCATAAAGGGAATCAAAAGTGTGAATTATATGGTCTCCACCTCACAGGTGCCTGAGGGACGGGGCTAAAAGTTCTCAAATTGACATGTATTTCAAAAATCTTCTTCTTAATCCGAGCACCTAGGCAAAATAGGTTTTTGAGCATAATTTAATTTCCATTGGAAACATTTCAAACTTTGTTAGAATTATGAGTAAATGGATGATGGCTAGATGGTATACATATGTTGATCCCGACTGACCCCCAGGGACTGATGGGTAGGGCTAAAAGGGGTCAAATAGACTTAAATTTCAAAAATCTTCTTCTCAACAGCCAGATATGGTAGAATCAAATACTTTTCATGGATGGTGCTTTACCAAAATGTAAATTTCATGGCCCCAGGGTCTCATATTTTCCTCTGTGGAGGGGGTAAATTTTACTGTAGTTTATAAATGCAAAATAGATTTTTGAGCATAATTTGTTTAATTTCCATTTGAAATATTTCAAACTTAGTTAGAATTGTGAGCTAGATGGTATGCATATATTGATTCTGTCTAACCCCCAGGTGCCGATGGGCAGGGCCAAAAGGGGTCAAAAAGACTTACATTTCAAAAATCTTCTTCTCAACAGCCAGATATGGTAGAATCAAATATTGTTCATGGATGTCTCTGTGTCTTTTGTATCTTATCTGTCTGTATGTCCTTCATATCTCATCTGTCTAATAAGTCCTTTATAATATGTCTGTTTGTGTGTCCTTTATGTCTTGTCTTTGTGTCCTTTGGACTTTGTCCAGCTGCATATCTATTTCATCTTTATCTTATCTTCCTGTACATTTCGTCTGTCTGTCTGTCCTTTAATAGCTTACCTTGCCCAAAGGGCCAAGTGAACTATAGGGATACCGCAGCATCCATTGTCTGTCATCTGTCAACTTTTTCTACAACATGCTACTAGTCATGAACGGTTGAGGGAATTTTGACCAAATTTTGTCAGAAGCATCCTTAGGGGAAGACAACAACTTGAATAAATAGTGTGCCCTAGCCACCCAGGGCCTGAGCGGCAGGGCCGAAAATGGAAAAATGGCAAGTCCTTTAGGATCCAACTCCTCATGTAGGAATGAATGGATTTTGCCCAAATTTGATCTGAAGCATCTTTGGGTGCAGGGAAATCAATTTTGTGTAAACAGTGGATCTCAGTCCATGGAGCATGAGAGATGGGGCCTAATATGGAAAATAGAGCAAATTCTTTAAAATCTTACTTCACTTGTAGGAATGATTGGATTTTGCCCAAATTTGGTCAGAAGCATCTTTTGATGAAGAAGAATAAATTTTGTAAAAACAATGGATCACAGCCCCTAGGGCTTGGGGGATGGAATCCAAAAGGGGAAATAGCGCAAATTCTTTAAAACTACTGATTGGATTTTGCTCAATTTTGGTTTGAAACATTTTGGTGAAGGGGAATCAATTCTGTTTAAATGCTGGATTTCGGCCCCATAGGTCAGGATGGGAGAAGCTCAGTAGGAGAAATATGTTTGAAAATGGTTTAGATCCCATAACCATGTATAGCATTGCAGGGCATAAAAAGATAAACATAACCATGATGCAAGAATTGGCCCTGGGGTCTGGCCCCACTCCTACAAACTCAGTTTCATGGTAATATCTTTGAAACAGTTGAGATCCTCACCCCTAAACCAAATATCGCATTTCTGGGCATCAAGAGATAAACACATTCACAATGTAAGATCTGGCCCTTGGGTGTGCCCCCTCCCCTCTGGACTTGATTTCTTAGTGATATCTTTTAAACAGTTGAAATCCCCATCCCATAACCCCATATATATATGAAATTGCTTTGCATCAAAAGAGAAACAAATTTGTTATGTAAGAATTGACCCTTGGGTGTGGCACACCTCAAGGGGCATTGTTTCTGGGTCATGTTTTTGATCCAAACTCTTCCTGGGAATCAAAAGAGAAAGACAGTCATGATGTAAGAAGTTACCGATTGGTTTTGCTCCATCAAAGATGTTAAGTGACTGAGCTTTAATTTGGAAATATATGAAATACCCAACATAAAGGCATGTATCACATTGCTGGACTTTAAGATGCAGATGAGCAATACAGGCCCTATGGGTCTCTTGCTTCTAAAAGTATCTGCCTGTGATTCCTTTGTTATTTATTTTGTGTTTTCTTTAACTGCCTTTTATTTGTGTATCATATCTGTACATACATCCTGTATTATACTGTCTTTAGGTATGTAACAGCCTGATTGACCATTTGATAAAAATGCCTGGCTTGACCACCTTCTCACAGCTGACCAACACAGTGGAGATCATCGCTGCTCCTGAGAACAATGTCCTACAGGTAAGTAATCAACACTACATTTTTTTTATACAGCCATTAGAAGTTGTAGATTGTAGTAGGAGAATATGTTTCCTTTTGGTTGAAGTGTAAAGCTGTTTCATTCTGCCATTTTACACTTATTTAAATAAACATCCCATCCACTTTCAAGAGTGTATGGCCTTAGAATCTGCAATGCATTGTCTGGAGGCCCTTTCACTGGTCTTGCATTCCTATTTCAACCATCCTTTTGGATATATCTGTTTTCCCAGATCAGCAGACACTGATATATCTTAGGTCTGTAACATAGACTAACATAGAATAGTCACTTCATTTTTTTCTACATCAATTCTGATTTTTTTATATGAACTTGAGCATGTCTTTCTTCTTTGAGGTACTGGGAAGCAATTGCTTACAGATGGATATGTTAATAAAAAAAAAAAACAAATATTAGGTATAGGAAAATCTTGAACTGAAAACAACACATCTTTTGTGTAAAAAAGTAAACCCCACCCCCACCACCTACATGTTTGATTCTGCTCAGGTAGATGCTTTGTCAAAACCTATATACATATACAAACAACAAGAGCCTGCTTGAATGTGACAACTGATGTCCAAGTGCCTTTCATTAGTAACTCTTAGGTGTTCCAAAGCAAGTCATCTTAAAAAACACTGGTTATGGAAAATTGGGTGTGGTCAAATGAGTTACTCTGGCTAGTTTAAATAATGAGCTGACCCAGAGGTATCGTGTGAGTTGGCAACTTTAAGACCCCAACAGTCATAGTCTGAATAATAAATAGTAACATGAATGTCCTTTTGTAATTTTGATAGACACATGTTCATGTTCACAATGTTTATGTAGCAATTTAACAAAAAAAGTCTTCCACATAACAAAGAGGTGAAAAGTTATGATATTAGACTGGTGCCATGCTGTGATGTAAAGGGCTTATAAAATCTATTGAAATTAATTAGTGACACACATTCTAAAGTCACATGTTTCAAGTATTCAACACATCCAGTTCACAGTTCACAGCTCACATTGGGGCATTTTGGCTTTCAATGAGAACAACTTGAGGAAGGGCTGTGTAATGGATATTCCCTAGTGATATATAGATCCCAGCAGATGTAGCTTCAGGGTCAGATGAAAGCTTGTAATGAGAAGACACAATTTGACCTTTTTCTTCATTTGTATGAAAAAAAATCTAAATTGCTGTGATATTACAAAATACTGCAAAACCTGAAATGGCACATATCACATGACCTTCTTTGTCCCTACACTGAGGCCCCCAGAGAAAAAAACGAAAAGCAGATCTTCCGTGTTAGCTGGTGTTGCAGGTCGACCAGAAAGCCCGAGGTACCTATTATAATGTAAGGATTTCATTAATGATATTTCACTATATATGGAAATTTATCAATTATTTATTCATTTCAGAATAATTGTTTTAAATTGAATATGTATCAGAAACTAGAAACTAGAAAAAACTAAGCAGCAATGACTGTAGTGGGGAATTACAGGAAGTATACTAGTAAAGCTTGCTAAATAAATTCTAATCAGTCACAACAAATGTGGTTCATTTAATTGTATTGATCAATAACAACAGTCTGTACAATCTCATCTTCGAAGGGTTTATTATAAAAGTAGGTGATGATATTGTTTTAAGTCACTCGGTAGCTTTAGATAAAAGAACTGCTTTATGATGGTATGACATGTCTACTGATTTGTCACGAGTAATATTTCGTGGGAGCGCTAGTAATTCTCTAGTAAAAGCAGGACCATCTTTACCTACCATATGGACTGTTAAAGATGTATGAACTGGAATCACTTTTAAAGTTACACCCTTGACTGAATGTATCAAAATCTGCGAATGATTTCTTCTGAATAAAGGTCCAGGGCCGTGACATCTGACACCAGTTTATACATTTGTTACACTGACGTTGAATGACTAGAATGATGTTCAACATCGCAGAAGTCAAATAGAAATGTTTATATATATAAACGACTTCTCTTTTACCAAAACCCAAGGTCATGATATTTGGTCAGAACCATGCTCAGATGAATACTTTGCTTTACTTTCAAGGTCACAGGGGTCAAAAATGTTGAAATCCTCTTTTCTATAACCAAAAATGCTCAGGATCCTTATATTGTACCAGCTGTAGCTTATATAAATAACCTTAACCTACTTCAAGATTACAGTAATCCAATGTGTTACAATCACTGAACAAGCTCTAGATAAGAGACAATTTTTTCCTGTATAGGCCATGGACATTGAATTTCCATGTAGCATCCATAAATGTGCTTATGTAATCAAGATAAAAACTCCAGAATAGCATCAATTTTATAATCAGGTAGTGTAAAAATTAATGGTTTTTATGCTCTCTCTCTTTCAGTAACAGGGTATGTAGTGTTAACCATCTCAATCCCATCCCATCCCATACCCTCACATTGAGTCATATTCCAATTAAGACCAGTTCAATCACATAACTGGTGTTGCAGTTAGGAGGTGGTGTTGTCTAGTTGATGATAGTTACTGTGGTTAAGAGGTGTTTTGATCTAGTTGGTGTTAGTTAATGTTGTTTGGAGCTGGTATTTTCTAGTTGGTTTGGGTAATGATGTTAGGATGTGGTGGTGAGGTCTAGTTGATGTAAGTTACTATTGTTAGAAGGTGGTAATGTCTAGTCGTTTTGGTTTGTCTGTCCGTCCATCATAATTTTGTCCGAAGCATCACACTTAAAGTTTAAGAGGTATCAACATAAAATTTCATAGGTAGATAGATCTCAACAAGGAGAAGTGCTGTGCATAAGAACCATTTTTCCTTTTTACACAATTAAGGAGTTATTGCCCTTTGTTACTTTTCATACTTAAATTTTGTATGGAGTATTTCACTATAACTATAAGAGGTATCAACATAAAACTTCATAGGTCGATGCATCTCAACATGGAGAAGTGCAGTACACAAGAAGCATCTCTTTTTTACATGATTTAGGAGTCATATCCCTTTGTTATTTTTCATATTTTAATTTTGTCCCATTCAGGGACCATAACCCTTTGTTTATTGTGGTTAGAACCTAGTATAGATGTATTGGTATTACAAGCATCTCTGAGTGAATTTTAAGGTCATCTGAATTGTTCAAAGGTATGCACTCCTGCATGTCAATGAACTTGACAGGTTTGTTTGGATGAAGGATACAGTATTTTAGCCCACCATCATCACAAGGTGGGCTATTCAAATTGCACTATATCTAAGATTGGTCGTCTGTCCATCCATCCATAAACAATTTTTGCCATCACTATTTCGTGGGAAGTATTGATGGATAATGCTTAAATTTACATGAAGGTTCCCCTTGGTCCCTAGTTGTACCCACTTGATTTTGCATCTGATCAGAAACAGAAAATGGCTGACGGGTGGCCATCTTGGATTTTACAGTGAAGATTGTTATTGCTCTTTCTTAACAAGTATTGGTTGGATCTCTCTCAAATTTCCCAGGTTGGTACTTTTTTGTCCCTAGTTGTTGCCCTTTGATTTTTGGACTGATGAGAAAAACAAAATTGCTGACAGGTGACCATCTTGGATTTGACAGTTAAAGATTATTATCACTATTTCTGCAAAGGAATGTTCAACTTTCAAATCATTAGTAGCAAATACAGAAGAGAGGTGAGAAAAGAAGGAAAAAGATCCAAATTTCAAAGTTTTAAGAAATAGAACCAATAATGGATGCCAAAATCCCTCAGTATCTCTTGTTTTAAATACTACCTCAGCTACTGGGTACTTAGATTTGGAATTAATTGTTTACTAAAACTATTCTTTTGGAAATAAACAAATCTGGCAATAATTTATTTGAGCTGCAAACGATTTGGTAGCAGATTGAAAGGCTCTATGACTCTCAGCTGGTCATTATAACAAGGTTTTTCCCAAGCCTGATATAAGCAACAACTCAGAATGAAGGTTTTGTTGTTTTTATATTGAAAACTATGAGCATTTAAAAGAGTGGTTAATGTTTTAACCTTTATCAAGGACTTTCTGATGTTTTAGATAATGTGGATGACAGTATAAAGTACATAACAAAAGTGTTGTTTGTTTTGTTTTAATTTCCTATCCTGCCAGGTAATTATCTAGTAATGAAGGAAAAGATCCGACTTCATGCTTAAGTATGTGATTAGGTAGAAGTTACACAACTGTATAAAATACTGTGTTAAAGAAATCTGTTATCACAGATACAAAATGTATCTGTTTAAATAATAGGAGTGTTTCAGTAGAAATTAGAAAAGGTGTTAACATAGGGAATAATCTTGGGGATCTTAACAGAGGTATATAACTTTCCAAGTAAACAAGATTTAACACCCTTATAATCACTGAGACATGTCGTAGAACATTGTTAGTAGTTCATATAAACCATATTCATGCAAGTTGTGAACATTCTGATGTAGTTGTGATCCCACATGAGCTGTAGCAGAGAAACATTAAAGGCTTCTGGTATGGGATAAATCTTCTTTAGGTTTGAACATTTAAACGGAAATAATTATTATAACATTTTTGAACTCATTTTTCTTTTTTTGGGGGGGGAGGGGGTGCATGTGTGTTTGTGTTGTCTACATCTCTTTGTCCTCGATCATTTAATTCATTTATATATCTGTCTGAAATTTTCTTTATGCAGTGTAAATTCTTTTCATACAATTTTAAATTCTAACATTTGAAATTTGCTAGTGCTTTTTCAGCAGTAAATTTGTAAAAGTTTAGTAAAAATATCAAATTGGAATTTGGTGTAACTGCCATAGCAGTTGGTAGCAGTTGGCAATGGTTTAGTATTTGTATTGTAATTTGGGTAAAACTTCTGTGAATTTACTTCTACAGTAAGCGGTGGTGAAATCTCAGTGACATTCTTAAGTATTGCACTTTACCAGTGTGAAATCTCTCACCATCATTCTATACAGTGTTGTGACAAAACCAAAGTGAAATCTCTCACCATCATTCTATACATTGTTGTGACAATACCAGAGTGAAATCTCTCACCATCATTCTATACAT